TAGATTTTCTTTAACTAGCGCTGTTGCTAGAGTAGCTAGCCTCGATCCTATACTACCTCGATCCCACTCCTCGTTTCTTATCGCTCTCTTATCGCTACTAACAAAACCGCTCGATCCTACTAGGATCGAGCACATCCTCTCGGGTAGGGATCTTAATTATCTAACTGTTTAGAATCTCCTCTTAGGACTAAACTCTGTAACAGATAACAATACCTTTAACAGGGAAGCCTCTCAGATAGGACTATTGTTTGCTAACATTGTGTACGGAAAAAACGGAATTCCAGCCGAAGAGCTCACTGGTATTCAGAACGTTCCTCGGCTCATCAACGCTACCAGCAAGATGTATGGCCGTTACATGGCACATGTTATGTCACAGAAATTTCGCCGACCGTTCAATGCCTCCGAACCAAGGCCGCCGCCGCTCCAGGGCACTATCTACACAGCTAAACCGCGTCTTGTCCAACATATAGCCCCAAAGATCGCGCTTCAGGTCTTGTTGGGCATCATGACGCTGTGCGGGATGCTAAGCTGGATGCTAATGCCCAAGGTCAAATTCCTACCACATGACCCTTGTTCTATAGCGGGCACCGCACACTTGCTTGCAGAAGATGATTTCTGGAGTGGCAAGAAGAGGTGGGACGTGGATCAGATGTTCCAGCTTGAAACGAGAAATGGGCGATTCGGTATATATGCTGTAGGAGCAGAGAGCCGGCGACTCCTTGATTAAGTCAGTGAGCTACCTACTGTTATGTAGTAGGCAACCTACAAGCGATGATTCGGAGTCTTGCGACGCGTTCATGGTGATGTGGTTCCGAAGCGGTTGTAGATTGAGCTGCCCACTCCCTTCTCCTTCCTGTCATTTTCTCTATGAAGCGGCACGTCCCTCGATGCATGTGGAAGGACCTTGCTGGCGTTTATGCCGCTCCACTTCTTGTAGGATACGTCCAGCACATTCCTGGTGTAGGAGCGGGGGTGCTACCATCGCTCCTACTTGAATGCCGTCGTCGTTGGTGCAAGAGGCCGGCGCAGGCTGAAGTGCAGTTGATATCGGCCGCAACTGAAACCGTCTCGCTGGAGTTTGCAGCGAGCTTCGTGCCGTTCTGAGCGGTTGCGAAGCCACTTTTATGTGTGTATCACTGCATGTGTCAGTCAAATATGGGTGTCGAAGGATTGGCTTGATGTCTCGCAGGTGTTCACAGTCACGCCGATATATGCAAGAGCCTTCCATGTCACGCTGCTGGTGGTCTTCGACTTCCAGCATTCGCCGCATAAGCCGAAGACATGGCGGCTGTGTTTGATGGAGGCGTATCACTGGATGTCGATCAGGACTGCAGTTAGCATCGCGACTCTGCTCTGCTTGCATGTCTTGACATAGGGGCATGTTTGGAGGTGACATACCAATCTAATGCTTGCAAGAGTGATCGGCTGGGTGACACATACACCATGATCCGATCATGAACCAGTTGGGAAGTTGAAATCCTCTGGGTTTGAGAGTCTAAGTTTGTCTCCAGTCATGATGAACGGGACTTGCTCTGTAAATTGGCATGGTCCAAAATGAACGAGCGAGGGCTCTAGGATAGCGTACATGAAACCCATTCACCAGCCTGTTCATGGATTTGGCCGGATTTCGAGATGCTCTACACCCACTTTGTCTGCCTCAGCATTCAAAGCATCTATCTCAGCCTGAACTAAGGGTATGCCCGTCGCCTCTCGTGCTTGTTGTTGCAGTTGCTCAAGCTCTCCAGGGAAGTAAATGTGATCGACGCCGTCCGCCTTTTCAGCGCTAACAACCCTGTTGTAGAGGTACTGCATTCTCTCTCTAAATTCTTCGAGGCTCATGAACAAGTCAGGCTTGATAGCAACAAGAAAATGACCAACGTTCGAAGGTTTCGAGGCGTCATATGGGCCGGCTACGTGCCCAGCGAAGGCTGACCCTGAGAGAACGCCAGAGAATACATCCATCATAACTGCTAATCCAGATCCTTTCGGTCCACCCATGGGTAGCATGACCCCGCCATCAAGGGCAGCGGCGGGGTCTGTTGTTGGCTTGCCATTCTTGTCGAGCGCCCAGTCAGCGGGTATTTGTTCGCCTCTCCTGCAGATGCGAAGATATGAAGTCAGTGTATGTGTCGCATGCATTTCGCGCAGCCATAACTCACCTCTTCGCTTTGTAGATCTTTCCGCGTGCAGCAATGGATGGCGCCATATCAAGGATGAACGGCTTTTCTTTCCCTGGTGCACCGCACGCTAGGGGTGACACGCCTAGTAGCATGCTCTACAGATGTGAAGACACGAAGTCAGTGTATGTCTCACCCGCATTTTTTACAGTCATAACTTACCTTGCCGCCCCACGCCGGTAATGCAGGACTGGAATTCGTAAACACCAAGCTCATCATATTAGAATCGAGGGCTTTCTGCACGACCCATGCGGCCATCCCGAAGTGATTCGAATTTTTGATGCTAGCCATGCCGATTCCAAAGACTTTTGCTGATTCGATCGCTGCAGCCATACCAAGGTCTACCGCCACAAAACCAAATCCGTTTCTGGCATCGATCTGTGCTACAGCGGGTGTGATTTGCTTTAATCCTGGTGTCGCAGAAGCATCCAGAACGCCTTGTCGGATTCGCTCCATATATGAGGGAATCCTATTTATCCCATGGGTGTCAACCCCGCGAAGGTCTGCAGCGATGAGACAGCGAGCGACTATGGATGCATTGATCGGTGCAACCCCATTTGCTGTTAAGACGGTTTCCACAAACGTTTGAGCTACGCTTGCGTCAACATAGTGCTTCTTATCGGCTGCAAATGGATTCGCCATATTGTCGGTGAAAACGGAGACTGCCAGTCAACGAAGTATAGGAAACCAGAAGGAGTTTTGGAAGAGCTCCAAGTCATGCAGTGGCTCTGGAAAACGTCGTCGTGCTCAATGGCCACATTCGCCGGACTGCGCTGTATTTATGTTTGAGCTAGCGTGGCGGGTAAGCCCGTGACAGGTGGCGGACGCAGTCCGCTCCGCTTTTTCTTTTTAGCGGAGCGCCCCCGTCGGCGGCTCTGCCTCTTCATCACAACATCCCTCCGCCCTTACACGCAGACAGAGAATGACCAGCAACGAAAGTCGCCGAAACCTACACCTGCGTCTTGCATGTGCGCGGTGCCAGCGCCGCAAGATACGCGTAGGTGCAACTGCGCCTTCAAGTTGATCCAACTAATCATCGTGGCGCAGTGCGATGGGCAATACCCAACATGTAGCAACTGCAGGAAAGCTGTCGCGGAATGTATAGACGGCGACAGCGTTCGATTACGTAGTGGACCCGCCGATCTCAGCAATGCGCCTGGCCGTGGGCTTGTCAATAAACTGCGAAGGCGCGTCACGTGGCTGGAATCCATCATCCGCGAACGCCTTCCAGACGTTGATCTATCGACCACGCCATCCCGAGATGACCTTGAACAGTCTAACGTCGAAGAGCGTGTCACGACGGAAAGCCCCGGTTCGGCATCGCGTCGAGAGTGTCAAGACGATTCGGTGCCAGACCTTGCTCCTGTACCAACCAATACACTGGATCAACGTGCCCATGAGATCGGAATGATATCGATCGGCTTCAATGCAGATCAAAAATATATCGGACCGTCAAGTGGCTACTTCCTTGCCCGTCTGTTGCTCGCAAATTCCCGGAGGACTGGCGACCTGGCGCCCAGTATAAGCAGCCGACCGCTCACCACGACTCAATCCAGCATAGACGAACTTGTCAGTGCCGCACAAGGACCTCTACTACTACCATCCCAACATGTTTCTGTTCAGCTAGCACAAGTCTATTTTGAAACAATTCAGCCCCAATACCCATTTCTACACGAAGAGTCCTTTCGTGCAGCCCTTGATCAAATTTATCGCAACGGCGCACCTGTCGACTTTGTCGGCAACGATGATGGCTCCGTTTACTTCCAGACTTACATGGTGCTTGCGATCTCGGCGAAAGTATTGAATTGGAGGACAAAGCGACACATTCCTGGAGAGTCATACTGTCTTTCAGCCCTGCGATATCTCGACCGTATCCGCCTTGGGACTTCCATCGAAGGTCTGCAATGCATGCTACTACTACTTTTATTCACAATGTATAGCCCACACATGCAGCTCAACGTATGGAGTTTGAACTATCAATGCCTGGCGGCCGTCATAGACCTTGGCTTGCAAAGGCATGTCGCAATCTCAGCGGGCATCTCAAAACATGAGCAGGACATGCGAACCCGCATCTTCTGGACTGTATTCACCATCGACAGAACCATTGCAAGCATGATGGGCCGTCCAATCGGCTTGCGCGATGAAGCCTGCGAACTACGGGTAAGTCTAACCCTTGGGTCAACCCAGGCTAGATGCTAACTGGCTAAGCTGCCGCAACTTCCAACCGATGCCGAATTGGCTACACAGCCAGATCATGCCAACGGCCGAAGTCACAGCATGGCCGTCTCGATCCACCTTTTCAAGCTCGCAAAGCTAAACTCGGAGATCAAGTATGTCGCCAACAGCGTCGTGCGTGACGTGCCCACGTACGCTTATCCAGCGATACGCGATGTGTCAGCATGGCAGAGTGGTATGATGCAGCAATTAGATGATTGGCTTGCTTCAGTCCCGCAGATACAACCACCAAACGACTACATCACGCTGATATGTCAACTTCGTTGTTTCTCTGTCAAGATGCTCCTTCTCAGACCAAGTCCAGCAATTCCCAGCCCTGCCGGTGCTGTCTTGACAGCCTGCCACGCAGTGGCGCGTCAATCTTTGCGGCTGTATGAACAGCTCTACAAGAGCGACCTTATGGTATATGACTGGATCACTTTACACGGCGTGGTATATAGCACGATAACAGCTCTCTATTGCACTAGGGCAGTGCGAGAGATCGCGCAAAAGGTGAACCCTGAGGATCTGATGGAAGATATGAGCGTCAGTCTCAGCATTCTCAGCGCGACCGGCGAGCATTGGTCTGGTGCTAAACGTGCACGGGATATCTTGGAAGATGTAGGCAAATCGACGATTCGCTTGCTTAGGCAAAGTCGTGAAGCCTCTACTCAGAGACAGGCGATGGACCAGGCCGAATCAAATGTTCAATCTCTACCAGTCAATGTTGGAGATGATATCCAGGTGAATCAATTGATGGACGGTGCAGAGAATGATTGCACCATGTCAGGTCTGGCTCAGCATACCAATCTTTTCTCAGACATGCAGCTCGATCTCGGCTCCTTCTCTGAATTGCAGCAACATCAAGAGCTATTCGGGGACACGGTCAATATTGACGATATGATGAGAAACTTATTCGATGATTTCATCCCTTCGGGTCAGAGTTTCTATTAATGCCTTGTAGGGAGCGCCTACGTAGGACCCGCTGCTGTCAAGAAATCGAAGTCAGCTCCCTGTTGCGCTTGATTCACCGTTCGCATGTACAGACCACGGTAGCCTCTTGTTTGGGTTGCAGATGCTGTCACAGTCGCCTCCAGCTTCAATTTCCTCGACGCAATGCGCTGTTCGATTTCCTCATCGGAAACGCGAAGATGCAACAACCTCTTTTCAACATCGCATTCGATCATGTCGCCGTTCTGAACAACACCCAGCACAGAGTCGGGATTCGAAGACTCCGGAGATATATGCAAAACGATTGTACCCCCAGCAGTACCACTCATCCGTCCGTCGGAAAGGCGTAGCATGTCTTCAACTCCCTTCTCACTGAGCTTGCGTGGAATGGGTATCAAGCCTGCTTCCGGCATCCCTGGATTTCCTACAGGTCCAATGTTCTGGAGGACAAGAACGCTGTCTGCATCGACGTCTAGCTCAGGATCATCAATTCTCGCTGCTAAGTCTGCAGAGTTCGCAAATACTACAGCTCGGCCGCTGTGTTGCAGCAGCGTTCGGTCCTTGGAAGCACTGGCCTTCATCACCGCACCACCAGGGGCTAAGTTGCCACGGAGAACAACTAGGGACGATGCTGGGTAAAGCGGATCGGCTAGAGAATGCAGACAATTCGTAGGACTGCTTCGAGGTACTCGTGCATACGGTGCAGAGTCGATTTCCTCCCCGAGACTTTTACCGGAGACCGTCATTACGTCCAGGTACAACAAGGGCTTTAGTGCGTGCAACAATGCTAGCATACCTCCCGAGTTGTGAAAATCGGTCATATAGTTCTTCCCGCTTGGTTTGAGGTCAACCAGTAGCGGGGTTCGGCGTCCTATATCGTCAAACGTGCTCAAATCGATAGTACCTGCGACTGTCGGATGACGACCAATTATTGCCATCAAGTGGACAACAGCATTTGTCGAGCCTCCTATAGCCTGTAGGACGGTCATAGCGTTGAGAAACGATTCGCGCGATAGAAGAGCCTGTGGGACTCGCCTTGTCGCTGCCGCGTCCACAGCGAGCTTCCCACTTTCTTCAGCAATTCGCTGCCGCGCCGACGAGACAGCTGGAGCAGTAGCACCTTTGAATGGCATCATGCCAAGAGCCACGAGAATGCAGGCCATGGTGCTCGCTGTCCCCATGACGCCGCAAGTGCCTGCCTTCAAAATGTTATTTAGAGTTCGATTTGATGACACCTTAGTCTTAGTTACCGTTGGTGCGAGCTCGTCGTTGATGGCTGAGATGTCTTCAACGTCAATTGTGCCAGCACGAAATTTAGCCCAGTTATTTCTGCAATCCGTGCATGCGCCAATCCTAGCGCCTTTATAGCTTCCTGGCATCATGGGGCCGGTGACAAGGTGAACGATCGGTTTGTTCGCAGAGATACCACCCATCAACTGTGCGGGAGTCGTCTTATCGCAGCCTTTGCACTAGTCAGTCATCTCGTTCCTACAGGAACAACTTCCGTCGGGGCAAAAACCTCCAATAAGTACCACAGCATCGCATGGCTGTGCTCTGATCATCTCCTCAGTGTCCATGCTCATCAAGTTTCGGAGGAACATGCTTGTTGGACTCGCAAAACTCTCGTGAAGACTAATGGTGGGAAAGTCGATGGCGAGACCTCCATTAAGCTGCACCCCTCGCTTGACAGCTTCGATCAATTGAGGGATGTTGGCATGACACTAACTTATCAGTTACCTTGGCCAGAGCGGAACGGATGCACACCTACAGGATTGAAGCTGCTGTATGTGTTGACGATACCGATGATTGGCCGAGACAGTGCATCCTCACTGTAACCAAGGGCTTTGATGAAAACTTTGCGCAAGAACAAAGAAAAGTGAGCATCTCCATAGGATGTCAGACCTTGACGAAGACCGCTTGCCGATGCTGGTATAGGAATGTCGAGGTCGTAATCAGACGTAGTGGCGCTCTGATTTGCAGACATGATGCATCTGGGTTTTCGTTGGATAGACTGGCTCAGAAACCCTGTCTGAACACGTCTATTTGTGTTGTGGACGTAAGTCATGCTTGCGGGCGAAGTCCGCAGAGAAGTCCCCAGCGGACATCGTCCGCTTCACAAACTGCGGACCGAGCCCGCTGCGCTCGTACAAGAAGTCAGTAGGGCGTCATGCCATCCAGCGAGAATAACACCACCAAAACACGCCACTATGCACGATCTGAAAGGAAAGATAGCTCTAGTTATTGGTCTTGGGCAATCGGGAGATGAGGGCTGGGGTATCGGTGCAGCCTGCGCCGTTCTTTTCGCTCGTCAAGGAGCTATTATCTTCGGCGGGAACCGCACCATCGAGTCCACACAGAGAACCCAACGAACGATTGAGCAAGAAGGTGGTGTGTGCCATGTCGAAGTCACTCAAGCGACCGAATCGGGATCGGTGAAGCATCTTGTCGAAGCCTGCGTTGCCAAACATGGTCGCATCGACATCCTCCTGACGAACGTGGGCGCCTCACAGCCTGGATGTCCGGCGACCATGGAAGAATCCGTATGGGATTCGCAGATGGATCTTAATCTCCGGAGTGTATATCTGGCCTGCCACCACGTCCTTCCCATCATGGAAGGGCAAACCTCCGGTGGCGCAATTGTCTGTATCTCTAGTGTCGCCGGTATGCGATATATAGGAAAGCCGCAAATTGCATATAACACCACCAAGGCTGCGATATTGCAGTTTGTGAAAGCCACGGCAGTCATGTATGCTGACAAGGGTGTACGATTGAACACAGTCGTACCGGGGCTTATGGACACACCGTACACGAAGAGCATGGCAGCTAGATATGGGAAAGATTACAAGCAACTCAAAGCAACAAGGAACAAGCAGGTACCAATGGGCAGAATGGGCGATGCTTGGGATGTTGCAAATGCGGCGCTCTTTTTGGTCTCGGACGAAGCGAGCTATGTCACTGGACAAAAGATTGTGGTGGATGGAGGCATTACCTCAAGTACTGGTAAAGTTTAGACCGTTCTTCGTAACTTTGGTAGATATTGTCATTCAATGAAGAAAATCGTTGTACAAAAGCTGGTTTCCACGCTGTCATCTTCTGGAGAGACCCGACAGGAACGACAGCTCTGCAGCAACTAAATTGCATGATTTACCAAATTCTTTTTCTCTTATACCGCGTTCGCAAGGCCTTATTGTAGCCCTATGTACAACGATCTTATAGCTGTCTCGATGTAATGTCGCTCTCGCGAAGATGTGGATAAGGAAACGCGAAGCAGCCGACTGAGGGCAGTTGTCACAGTACCTACCATGGATCTCTTGACGCCTGAACAACCTCACAGGCGAGAGGTCCTTGTCGAGAACCCAGTCGTGACTGCTCAGCTGTGTGAGCAGCTAAGCTCTGGGCTACATGCACGGGTTGTTTTCACAGTTTTTCACCGCGTTTATTTTCTGCCTCTGTTTCCTTATGCGACGACTTGTATTGAACTAGGTATTGTACGTAGCTATGATTCACGCGCCTAGTAAGCGCCTAAAGCACGCGCGCGTAGTAATTCGTGACAGCAGTTCTGCTTGTGTAGAGCGCTCAGCTCGGTAAGAAAACTACCCTACCTGGACTAAGAGCTGCTATCTTCTTACATCAAGCCTTTCGTGACAAACCGACACATATACTCATCATCTTCGGCAACCTCAAAGTCAAACCGAGTAATGTCCTCCTTATATGGCCACAGATATTCACTAGTAACTCTATGCTGCCGTCAGTATATGTACGTGTCTGTGCTGTTCATACTTCATACCGCTTATGCTCTGAGCTTGCCTGATACTCTTCTAAAGCTTTGCGGTCTTGATGAAAGCTTAATAACGCGAACTCATAGCCCTTGCTTCGCTCGATAGGTTCAGTTATAGACGGCCCCCCGACGATCAATCGATTATCCAGGACGCAGGGAAGCTTCTTGAGCGCCTTGAGTTGTGTAACGAAGGCGTTCTTGTGTGCCAACGAAACAGTCGGCTTGAATTTGAAAAGAACTACCATACTTCAGCGATGTTCGGATGATGTTGAGTGCGTGAATGCAGGTTGGACTCACCAATATGTACCACTGTCATTGTGGTAGGCTCTTGAAAAGGTGGTGTAAGTGATTGTAGAAGGAAGCGAGTGTATTGAATCGATTGTAGCAAAGCTTCGTCAAGATGATGCGGCTGACGGTCACAACGAAAGATTTTGAGGTTGAGAATCGGTGCGCACGCATCCCGAGAGCCCATTGTGGGTTCGCGGAGATTGGCGGAGTCATAGCGGAGTTTCTCCGCAGGCTCAAATCCACCTCACACAGACTAATCAATCTTCGGAACGATACCAAAGCGTTCGGCGTATCTACTACCAGCTGAAGTAACGCGATCGCGTAATACATGGACCTAAGCGCCGTAGTGTACGGTAGGATAAACCTGTCTTTGGGCAATATCAACACATGGCGAGGTTCATAGCCCAAGGCTACTTTCCAAACACAGCAATAGGGAGTTTCCGGGCTCAAGAGGGTCTTTGTTCTCGAAGTGGTACTTCTTCCTCTCAGCAGCGGGCCAGCGTGTGATATCAAAGTAATTTCCTCCAAGTGGTGGACCCGAATGGAAGATGTGACGTGGTTCGCCGTACGCTTGACAGAGAATTCTCCACTTCAGGTCGTTAGGCAACGTTATTTGGGACAATATATCACCTACCTTTGTACCCCAGCCCCAGCGATCAACACACTCTTTTCTCTTCCAATAGTTCGCCTCATCCACGTCATCGAACTTTTGTACGAATCTCTCTTCGATGCCCCGAACGCCTTTGATCTTGATACCGTTGGCCTTGGCGTAGGAGACAATCTTATACGGCCAGCAGATTTCTCTAGGGTTCGATGATAGATATGGGATGGTCGTGGCTTGATCCAGACAATCGCAAATGAAGTCTCCAAGAAGTGCGAGAACCAGACCCAGGTCCCTGACCGGGGAGTGCTCCATGAGTAGCTTTGCCCGATCGAGAGCGTTTAGCGTGGCTAAAATTGCGATACCAATCATTGCGACAGTGTCCTGCCAGCGCTGACCATCATCCATCATGAACCAAGGCGCTAGTTGTTGCGATTGAGTCCAGTGGGCGAAAGCTGACAAGCGTACCCAGAGGCCAACAGCAAGCTCATCGGCCGAAACGTGTCGCTTAGCCATGAGTGAGTTGATGGCTGTGAGCTGGTTCTCTATAACCTCCTGCAACCCATATCCAGTAAAGTCGTTCGAGACCACCATGTCGAAACTATCCTCGTCACGCTTGATAGATTCGAGGCTATACTTCTTGACGAGCTCTGCTGTAGCTTGGGATATTACGTAGGGCCAATTCGGGAATTTCTCGGCCGGCTTGCCATCATATCGCTCCTTATATCTGGCGGCCGTTTGGATATGCTTTCCTGTCTTAATATCTTCCAGGTCGAAGCTGTACGATGGTTTAGCGTACGTTACATACTTTAGCTGTAGCGTTAACACCTCCTTGAGCGAGAAAGGGTCAGCATGTTGTAGAACCACGGACTCTAGTCGTACAGACGCATTCTCTCGGTCGCGTGTGAGTCTTTTCGCTAGCTTTGGTTCAGGCGATTCGTTGGGACTGACTTCTTCAAGCGCTCTCTTCCTCGTTCGCATGATTTGTGGGTTGGCTCCCCGGGTTTCGATTGAATCCGAGTTTTGAAGCCTCCGGCATCTCCCTGATGCAAGTACTTCACCTACAGTACTCTTAGGTATGCCAAATACAGTGGAAATACGCTCAAAACTGCATGGTAACTCGTGTTGTTGGCAATACAGCTGCACAGCGTATATGGCAGCTCGCTTGGGTGTCTCTAGCTGTGACGTACTTGACGCCTTCGCTAGCTCGGGTGGAGGGGTGGTAATCCGTATACGCTTAGGCATAGTGTAATAGACTTTAGTGCATCAATTTAAGCTATTTCTGTATACAATTTGACGCGTTTTGAGTGTAGTATTGTCGTGATGTTGATGTGAATAGGTGGTGTTGCGCATCGATTGGCGATCTATTTCCGGCTTTCCCGACTTACCGAGAGCTTGCACCTAGCAATCACACCCCTCACTCCAGGATGCGCGGCATGACACACATGTCGCAGCTCTACCATCAGCAACGCATTGCCTCTTCCAGCCATCAAAGCACTGTTGATGTACGCTCTGTCCGCAGCTGTCCTTGCACCACACCAAACCCTCGTCGCTCGCCGCCGTCGACCCATCCTCTGCCAAAACATCACGACAAATCGCATGAACAGCATCACATGAATTACACCCAGAATGTTCGTCCCAATCGCTGCGACAAACGCCGCACGTGAGTCGATTGCAGTCGATAACGCATTGCGCACGCCAATCATCGAAGCATTTCTTGTGCACACTCTGACCGCAACTTGATCGACACCATACAATCTCGGACGCATCGCATTCGGAGAGAGGGCCTCCTTCGTAGCAGATGGGACACTCTTCGTTGAAGGGCAACCGGCGAGCATGTGGGCGTTGGCATCGCTGCGGCGAAGGGCGTGGCACGACCTGCGACACATTTGGCAATGATGTCGCGCTGAACGACGACGTTCTGCCTGAGATTGCTTCAGTTCGCCCAACTGGTGCTGCTGCGATATCGGGACGATTCGAGCTTCTCGCGCTCCCTGTTGCGACTCGGGGTGTGGTGTTGACAGCGCTGCGCGCAGCCCGGCCCAACGATGTACTAGGTGTTGGCGGGATCTCCGATGGTGCGTTGACGGATTCAGCAGCGGCTGAACTCGCTACATGGTACCGAGGAGGAGTGGTACTGTTCGAAGGCCCTAATTCCTGCCTGACCTGTTGCACGATCTGCTCGATCTGCGCGCGTATTGCTTCAAGCTGGGCAGGCGTGAAAGCCACTGTCGCCGGCTGACTCTGCATTGCAGATCTCCGGCCTTGCGTTCGATCAAGCTCGACCGGGAACGCTGCCCTGATATTGCTCGTCCATTCGTTTACCAGCGCCTCGCCTTGTGTATGTCGATGTAGATAACATAACCCATGATTGGCGAGATTCACAAGGTCCGGTCGAATTCGCTCCGGGTCTGGCTGTTTCTTTGCTATCTCGGTAACCAAGAAGTACACGTCATGACGCCGGATCCGCTTGTGACACTCGCGACGCTTTGACGGGGCATACCCGAAGCAGAGGCCGTCCACACATAGATTCAGCACGTCCTCGGGATTCCCATCGGGGCTGGGATCTGGACGTGCCAGGGATAGTGGCTCTGTTGGTGGGCACTGAAGAAGGCATTGTTCAAGAAAATAGTGTCTTTGAGGGAGTCTTTGAAAACGTGCGTTGATTGTGGGGATATCAGCACAATAAAAGTCGTGATGTAGTAGAGTTTGAAGGCGTAACAGTGCGAGTTGCACAAAGATATATCCATTGGCAACCTTTCATTCCCTCTTCACAGCCATGATCGCAATATCCAAGTAACTCCTCTGGAGGATTGTCAACCTGGCAAGACATGGGTCGTTTCATGGTGTTGAGACAGAACAGCTTGGTGAGCTGCGAATCATTATCTTTCCACGAGAAAAGCGGCAAACGGCGCATGATATACCAGGTATCTCCATACTCAAGAATAGCGCTGCGCCCCTGCGTTGTCATGCAACTCGCTTTGTGCAGCTCGAGGCAAGGCGGAGAGGTAGGCGATGCGCGCGAGGCTGATGCGGCGTGGTTGTCACCTGGAACAACATTCGTTTCTAGTCATACAGCTGCACCCACTGCTCATTGGACTAGCTGGTAAGCCAGAATTGGGTGGAGGGTATTATGCTTGACTACAATGCTAATTTTAATCTAAAAGAATGTCCCTCAACGTCTCAAGTCTACAGACTGCCTGAGAAACCTGCGTCCATCATGCTGCTCGTAAAGCGTCTCCAATAGGATCTCGTATTGATCATGGGCATCGCATTTGTACAAAGAGAAATTCTGAATGAATTTAAAGAGGTACAGTAGCCTGGAATCGGTTTCGCTGGCCTAACTGGTGCCGCTGCCATGTCAGGGCGATTTCTGCTTCTCGCGCTCCCTGTTGCGACCGGCGATGTCGTTTAGACTACGATATTTCTACTGCTTACCATGCTGTAGCTCCAAGGGTAACCGTCGAAGTGCTTCCCAGGACCCCCTTACCATACGGTGAACTATGATAACGATGGCTTCACGCTTTTCCAGGATAGCTGCTTTCCCTAGATACTTTACAGGTGCACTGGCCTGGCCCTTCATGCAGTCAGGGACAAGACTCCCCAAACTTCGTCTTTCAAATTATCGGCGCACTGGAACCTGCCAAACCACGATCCTTTTTGTTCATCTCGTCGTCCTTAACCTGCTTATCAAGCTACTTTCTCAACGCGATGGTCGAGCTCGGAGACGGTTCCGAAATCCCCAAAATATGCTCGAGCACCTAGCTTGAAAGTTTAGCTTTACCAAGACTGCACGGAAGCCATTATGCACCCTACCACACCGCCTATAAAGTCCAACTCCCTGTCAAGCTCACTATCGCTCTTGATCATTCGAGGTCGGACTTCGGTCCACAGAGTATTCATTATAAGTAAGATTTCTAGCGTAACCTTAAGGAATCTTGGAAGTCCTCAAACGCTCTATTTAAACTATGGAATTTACGACCTGGGTTCATGTCACATCTACTTTCCAACTCCACAATCTTCCTTGAAACATATATCGAAAAATGAAACTTAATGTTTTTGTTGTTTTCTTCGCGCCTACGGTTCTTGCTACAACAAAAGTATGGAATCTAAGTGGCAGCTGCAATTCTGCCAACGTCTGCGACGTGGATACAGCATTCAACAATCCGAACAACCCGAAGGTGTGTAATGGCAGAGCGGGACAGTATGTTGGCACAGGTATCAACGGAAGAACATGGTGCAGTCCTCCAGGCACCAAATGCACTTATGTTTGGAGGTGCTAGCTGCTTGCTACTGTTCGAAAGAATACCAGTTAGGTATGTAGTGCTCTACAATTCCCTCTGATCCAGGCTAACATTCCATGAAAGAAGGGTCCGGGAACTACAGTGCAGACCGAGGCTGGCAGGCGGTTGTCTCTTCAGAGGTCGTGGTATCAGTGGTTAGTAGCAGCAAATCAAAACCTGAGATTAGAGCTAGAGTTGAAGATTGTGAAGATCGCCCTCAGACGATCCAGAGTTGATTCTTAGGGAAGAACAGGAGTGCGATGGACAAGACATCGTACTGGCACGAATGGGAGAGTAATACAATCATACAAGTGTATTATCAAGATTCGTACATCAATATGATAACATGGGGTGCGTCGAGAATTATTCTCAACGTCTCAAGTTTATGCACTGAGGGGGAATCTTCCGACCATCACGCTGCTCGTAGAATGTCCCCAGTAGGACTTCTTATCGATCACGAGCATCGTATTTTTATAGAGACGATCTCTTGTAGGATCGGAAGATACATAGTACACATTCAGCATGCAAAAGTAACCCCACCGCGTTGCCAAAAGCTACGTCACTTGCGCCAAACACGAACATGTCCTGTTCGTCCGGACAAATACAACCTTCCCAAGAACAAGAACATAAGTTACGCAACACTCCTGCATGGGCATGAGGCTGTGTTTCAAGGAGCACACTCGTACGACTGCGCCTTCGTGACATCGCCGTCCTTCGACACAAGGCGTGTCTTCATCGGATAGGGGCACAAGAACCTGTCGTACTGTGTTCCAGACGTGTCATTGAAGTTGATTGGAATTGTATCCGGCACGGTACCCTTTTCCACCCAATCGACAAGAGCCTGGAACGTGGAGGTAGGCTGTCCACCCGATCCACCAGAGCAATGCGCTAGTCCAGGAACCTGGAAGTAGCGGAAGAAATCGTCGACGTTGGGATCCAGCTTCGTGACACGGTTATAATAGTCAGTGGTGCCTTTGTGTGGGATAAGTCCGTCGGCCTAACAGGAAGGTTAGCATAGGCTTGGAAGAGTACAACACTCGTCAAAGACGACGAAGGGCAAGAATTGCTCGATGGGGGATTTACCAGGCCGTGATAGGTAATGATCTTGCCGCCCGCTTTGCGGTAGTTTGAAAGATCTGGATCCGCGCTTCCGATGATAGAGTCGTACTGCTGCATAGCAGACTTGAAAAGGCGTGTGTATTCCTCCACCGAGTTGATCAGCGTATAGTTCCACTGGGGGTCCTTCTTGACGAAGAGCTGCAACCATCCTTCACCAAGTCCAGTTGGAGCTCCGGTGCATGTGCCATTCGTATTGCACGTTGTCGCCGCGTAACCTAAGTCAGAGGTAGTACCCGTTGGATTAGGGCTGCCAGTGAGCCGAGATTGATAGTCAACACCGTACCAAAGGAACTCGCCGTTCGGACCACGCGGGCCTTCCCATGTAGCGTTTGCAATTACTGCAGCTGCTTCGGTGATGGTGACCGATTTGCCCGTCGAAGTGCAATTGCGCACGCTACCGATCATCGTGAACGGATTGAAAGAACACTTGTCCACGTCGCTGATCAGTCCGTCAGTCACACCATCGAGGGCGTCGCAGGAAGCGACAGCGGCTTCGGTGAGGGAGTCCAATTCGCATTTTGTTGGAAACTGCCTCATTATTGACATCATCACCTGTGCCCATGCCGCTGCGGGGATGAACTGGTTCCAATTGAATGCTGGAGCTGCTGCAGCAATACCGTCGTAAGCCTCAGGGTAGCGCTGTGCGAGCATGAAGCCTTGGCGGCCTCCTTGAGAGCATCCGCTCCAATACGAATATTTAGCAGGTTGTCCGTAGAAGGAGTTGATGACGTCTTTTGCAATGAGCGACTGGTCGTTGAGCGATACGGCAGCCAAGTTTTGGAGCGCATACATGTCAACATTACCTGGGCTGTTCAACGCCCACGGATCCGGAACATAGCTCAATCCCAGGCCAGCATCCGTCGTTGATGCCACATATCCCTCTCCAAGCGCGCCGCTCATCGCCATATACGATAGTGGAAATCGTCCAGCAACGTAACCTCCCCCTCCCACGGATTGAAGTCGCCCATTCCATCCTTTCATTGGAAGCCATGTCTCGACGTTGATGGTGTCGTTCTGACCTTCGTGCGTGTATGTAATGGTAATGTTGCAGTAGTCAATGCCGCGTACCGAAATGGATGGATGGTTGTAGTAGAACTGGTCGGAGACTTCGGTCGTATAGTTTGTGACAGGCGTAGCGGTAAGGTCGAGGATAGTGGCACCGAAAACCGTTGGGTAGGGTATGGAACTGGCATCGCAGGCCGAAGATGGGGAGGTGATGTTGTGCATCGTATGGCAGAAGAACGAGTGACAGAGGCCAGGACGAAGGGAGTATTGAAGGTGAGAGTGGCCAAACATTAAGCTTTATTCTCCGGTCAAGTAGCATAAAGAGATGAGGATTAGTTGATCTTGCTACTACAGCCTCAGCACGATCCACGACTTGACCTCTGAGTGTGCTTGCAGGTCCATGCTCAGAAAAGATGATCGCGAATCAGGACATACGGCGTATCGCGCTGATTGGCTACGTATTGCCCTGAGCCTGCGCTAGCATCTCGTTCGGCCACTCGAGCCAATGCTTCCAGAAGGAACCCAGAAATCTGGAAATCTCCTCGATCAGAATTCTACCGACGTTGCCGACAAGCCACATTCGTCGCCGGCGGTGCAGAACGACTGCGTAATGGGCGAGGATGATTAGCGCTTCCGGCTTCCGCATGGACAGGAGGTTTGTGAAGTCGCTAGACAAATTGATAGGCCAAATCCAGATCAAGCCGGAAGAAGGCGATTGATCAGGGACTGTTTCAGTTTGGTACACGAGCTGCAGCTGAGATACAGCCGCGCGGCAGGTTGATTGGGATTCCTCACTCATGTCCGCTTGGCCCAGCAAGTTGGACAGGCGATCGGCTACAACCTCAGCAATTTCATTGTGGGACGATGATGCTAGGTTGATGGAATCTTCGGCGCGTTCGAAATAGGAAGATATGCTGGTCTGTTTCAGGAATTGCCAGGACTGCGATGTAACAGCGCGCACCCCACGATGCAGGTTCATGTACGTGATGAACCTGTCTAGTATTTCGCCTGCGCTAGCGTCCGCGATTACGGCGACTTCACCAAGCTCATGCAAGCCAATGAAGCTAGAGAATATCAACAACGGGGCACAATTCTCTGCCGTGACCTCGAAATGTGCATCGTTGAATGAGCTCAACGCCAGTGTCTGGAAGGTCCTTGCTTCCTCGCGATAAAGACCTGATTCGGCCCCATGTAGATAGCTCATATGCATAGCAGATAGTGCTAGCAGCTGATACACAACGTATGGCTTAGATAATATGATCGGCATCAAGGTTCGTGCCTGTTCTCGATCAATGGCGCCTGCTTCTTCGAGACTTGGCAAGGTCTCGAAGATGAAATGATTGAACAACTGCATATGGCGCAGATTGAGCGACAGATCTTGTGCTTGAAATGATAACGGTAGTGGAGACAGGTAATCCTGGTTGACAGACGGCGTTACTGCTGCTGACGCACTACTGTGACGATCCCCTAGAATTGGCACACTTTGCGACATGGGACTTCCAATGTAAGGTTCTGTTGGGGCAGTATCGGAGATTGTACATGATGATTGAGCGGACCCTGCACGGCGAGTGGGTGGCTTTTGATACGCGCAGGTCCGATCATCCCGCGAACAATTCTCGCATGTCGGTTGTGCCTCATCACACTGCGGAAGTCAGTATGCTTTTCACTTCAGATTAAGTCGAGACAGATACAGGTACCAGCGTCTAACAGCCAGGTCGCTTACCTTGATGTGGCGTCGCTTACATTCTTGACAGCCAAGTCGCGACTTCCTGTGTGGTCTCCGTGAGGGGTTCCGTGGACGCATGGCCAAACTCGACTCAGGCGACTGTGATTGGCGTAACAAGAAACTAGTAAACAAAGATACGCAGAGCCAGAGATACGGATAGTAGCGAAGGGGTGTTGGATCAAGAAGAATGCAGCGGTAGATACGGATACGCTGACTAAGGATGCACTAGATTAGTGTCTCCCAAATCGGAGCTTGGAATCTGGAAGTGGGCCACGCTGTATGTTCCACATGTCCGCCTCCATTCGCCGAATACCCCTGCAACACCGCATGAAGCACTAGTGCGTCACTGTTTATACGTCGTATTCGACAATACGACGTATCGCCCTTGCCGCAGCTGTTTCACGATAGCTTCTACTCCCATCCTTCTCTCCCTCTCCTCCCTTTGGCGCGCGAAGTTCATGTTCTTACCGCAACAATTCGGCTACGACTACTCGGGGTAGAATACGACGTATTCCCAAGTATAGCGGATCACATTCTGCTTTCTCACCCACATCTGGCGCTGCGTTCACCGCAGCACGTTCTGAAACTACAGCGAACTCGAGAGGTACAAAGATCTTGAGTCCTCACAATGTTTCGATCAAGATACCATCTACCATCGACTTCCATCGCCTCACCATCTCCAGCCGCTTCGAGCTTGTCCCGCAGAAGAATCTCGTACGAATTATACCCACCGGCGCCTTCACCCAATCAGCCAGGATGGTCGATGGAGTAGAGCCCACCAAGGGAGGCTACTACCTTTGGAACTACCTCCCCTCGATGGCCGCCGCTGTTATATTTATCCTACTTTTCATGGTTACCACCGGTTTGATCTGGTGGCGAATGTTCCGTACCAAGACCTGGTTTTGCACCCCGTTTGTGGTTGGGGGCTTCCGTAAGCTTCGTCCCTCTGGTTCTCGTGATGGAGCTGACACTTTTATTGTAGTGGAGTTCGCCGGTTACTGCGCAAGAGCGTCCGCTCACAGCAAGACTGGTAGAATCATGCCATTCGCTGTACAAAACGTCTTCATTCTCCTTGGCCCCGCTTTCTTCGCTGCATCAATCTACATGTGTCTGAGTCGCATCATTCGCAGTATACAAGCCGACCACCTTTCCGTGATCAAGCCTCGGAAGTTGACGAAGATATTCGTGACGGGTGACGTCCTCTCCATCCTGGTTCAGGGAGGCGCTTCTGGCCTGATGGTTACCGGCACGCATGCAAAGCTCGGAGAAGGCATCGTGATCGCTGGTCTACTTATTCAAGTGATCATGTTTGCACTATTCGCGGTCACAGGGGTCATCTTTCGGAACCGCATACGCCAACGTCCTACTCCTGAGTCGTACACCGTCGATGTTCCTTGGAGGGAGAGTTTACGCATGCTGTTCATTGTCTCCGCTCTCATCATGGTCAGATCTGTCTTTCGCGTCGTAGAGTACGCCATGGGTAATGACGGGTATCTTCTGAGGCATGAATGGACCATGTACATCTTCGATTCAGTTCCAATGTTCGCGGTTACCGTCTTGTACTACTTGTGGTACCCAACAATACTGGTTGATATGAAGACCGAGCTGCAGAACATTTCTGCATAGTAGATTATATCTGGTTGCGACATTCCAAGACTACGGAGTGTTCGGCAGGCCTTCTTTCATCATAAGTTTCGCTGTCATAAGGTCCTTCGATATCTCATGATCCCAAATCCAATCCATCCTCGATAGCGCATTGTTTCGCAAAGCATCTAAATCATCACCTACACCTTCTCCCTCAAACTCCCACAGCTTACCAGCCTCCTTGCTTGTCGCCACTAGTCTCTGACTGCGCGGTCTTCGGACTGCATCGTACGCATGGAACACATTTGTAAGTTGTTCTTTCTGACGACATGCCGACAACAGCTCGCTAAGAACGTGGACATCCTCGATACACATGCCAGCTCCAGACCCCTGTTGAGGCGTTGAGGCATGTGCAGCGTCACCTACAAGGCAGATCAAAGGCTTGGTGGTGTAGTAGGTTGCCGCAGGAAGATGGTAGAACAGCGCCCAGATATCTGGCTTTTGCATATTCTCTATGATCTTTTGAGCGGCAGGTATGAAGTGTTTGAAGTCTTCCATCATCTCGTCGCGAGACGTCTGCACCACCCAGTTCTTATCCTCCCAAGTGGGTCGCGACCCAAATGCGACAACTGTAAGCGCGTCAGCCAGCTCAATAGTAACTTCCGAGTCGACGTACCATTAAACAGCGTTCCATTTGCTATGGGAAACGTGAGTATGTGGGCATGGTAGCCAAGCCACATTTGCGGCATTTTCGGTATCTCTTCGCCCAAGATCTCAATTGCCTTCGTCATGGGAAAGATTCCACGATAAGCGTATTTTCCTGAGAAGACTGCTTGCGCTTCCGGCACATCGCCTAGCACAATTTGCCGTACGCGCGACTTGATACCGTCGCAACCCAGTACTGCACTATGCTGTGCAGTAGACCCGTCGGCGAAATGGAGAATCGCATCTCCAGATCCATCAGTTGCTTCTGTGATATCACGCAACCTTTTCTTGAACTGCGCAACACCTTCTGGAACCAGTTTGACAAGCTCATCAAGAAATTGCGCACGATGGACTCCGCCATTCGGTCCCTCTCTTGCTGGAATAGTGAATGATTCTTCCCCTAGCTCAACGCCCTTCTTCCTCTTGTCTCCCACCCTCGCTGTGAACCATACCGGTGGATCTGGGTTGACGTTTCCTTTGTTGCACTTGATGAAGGCGGCCTCGATTCGTGGGTCGATCATACCCATGGTGCGGACCATGACGGGCGAGAACCCAACACCAGCGCCGATCTCGCCAAAAGCCGCAGCAGACTCATACAGTGTGACCTTTATGTGCGGGCATTTTGTGAGCAGCGCAACGGTCAGCGTCAGGCCCGCGATACCTCCGCCCACTATCGCGATGCTTAGAGAGCTTCGCTCAGCCATGATGGTAAAATTGATGAGGGTTCGCGTTTCGAGATGTAGTAATAGCTTAGTGTACGAGGTTTGGAAGCAGTGGTAACCGAAAGACTTGTGATGCGACTTGCTGCTCGTCAAGTACCCTGCAGCTGTTCTTGCGGCCTTTCGGCTGTTTTAGCATGCACTGACAGATGCAAGGCGCCCCACGCTTGGTGGGGCGAACGCTTACCTCACAGACACGCGGCTCCGATACCAAAGCCTGGCGCTTGTCGAACACGTCCGGCTGCATGGCAGAGCCTGTACTAAAGCCCCGCCGTTGGGTTGTAACCGTGTGAAGAATGATGCGCTCAGCGATTTCACACCCAGAACTGATATCCTGGCTGCGCAGCACTATACGTATCGAAAACTACCACAGCGCCCGGAGGTTTCTAGAACAAGTGCGGGGAATGTGTAAAGGTTTATGGTCAAGTTTGAGCGTATTGGAAGAAACCAGAAGAGTGGTTCAAACCTCACAACTATGCTAACGAGTACAGCAGTTCAGAAAAGCAATCGCATGGAAGTGTCACGTCGAACTTTCAATACAGGTAGCTTTCGGACATGAAAGTCTGGGCTCGGTGTTAATTTCTCCTAACCTCTACATCGTGAGTCACAGTAATACCCCGCAATACAAGATGTTCGCTTTTAGTGCTGTTGCTGCGTCGCGGTTGCGATGTGATATGCACTCCCGGCTTGGAGTCTTCGATGATGCGCTCTTGACTCTCACTCGGACTAATGTCGCCGAGAGTCTCAACCTTGCCCCTTGCACCGCTACGCATTGCTCCCATGGCGAACGCATCCTGATGTGCGTTCCCGGTGCGGGGTCGCGATATCCCCAGCCCGATGCCATTGGATCCGCTGTAGTGCTGGTATGCTCCACTCGTTCCTTTGTTGCTTCGCCATCTCTTTGGCCACAACCCGCCGATGCTCTTACGTAGGCTTAATAAGCAAGCGGTTATCACTCCAGTCGCGGCCTCGATGAAACTCCAAAGATTCGTGGGTGCAGATTGCCATGTCGGTTCGCGGGTACGAAGTGAGAGGGGCAGCGTGGACATGCGGAGAGCGGTTGTTAGGCAGATGAAGAAGCCCATCGAAAAAAGGACCATAAGACCGATTCGCGAGCCTTTGGACATGTTCAACCCGAAGATGACGGGCATTGGAAGTATGAAAATCGCGAGGTCGGTAAGGAGATTCAAGATAGCATTCGACCAACTTGAGGGAATGTTAGTGATAGTTTCGCATACACTGAAGGGCAACATACCGGTGCCAGAAGAAGTTGATGCATGTTCCCGGTATCGTTCGATTATAGACGCGAGGTACCGGCGTGCATTGGAAGATGCAGACTACGACATATGAGACAGTCCAGCCAACTGATATGACCCCTAGTACAATGCATGCCTGTCGAAAGCGCTTCAGAGCAAATACACGATAGTACAAAGCCAGGAAAGCCATCTTGTTAAAGCCGTTGGTGAGCGTGTAGAAGGACTGTGTGAGCCAGAACGACTAGTACGATGGCGTTAGCATGTCAAGCTGATGTTGAGATCGATCAATCCCCTAACCTTGAGTGCTTCCGTAGCATTCCCGCCATCCCTTGCGATATCGACTAAGCGCGTGCCGAATCCATAGGTTGTCGACCGGTAAATAAACGCCGCCAGTAGAACGAGCCAAATCTACAATGGTAAGATATAAGCACTTGCAGTTTCTCGGCAGTGTCGTACTTACATTCGCCATGATCACGAAAACATCTTCCAAACCAAGCCAACCTCTACTTATGATTGTGTTTGTGATGCGCCAGATCAACAGCACTGTTGAGATGACCGTCAGCGTCACAGTCACCCACTGCAAGTCTTTTTGTTGCCCTTCGTAGGCAGAAAAGATCATGGCACCTGCGTCGGCGAAACCAGCGACCTGGTCAAGGGAGATTCGACCGCGAAGCTACGAATTTACGAGCATACTTATACTGGATTCCACTCGGTCTTTCATTGAGGCTGAACGCGACAAGCCTCAGAAGCCGATTCCGTGCGGATCAGTCATCCGCTCGCTCTCGTTCTTGTATTGCATTTGTCTCATGGTAAATCTTATGAATCCTTCTCGGTGGCATTTGCGGGTGTTACCAAGCCCGGTTACGAAGCAGCTGAACACCAGCAGCCCGACGAGTGTGTATACCTGCCACAAGTCAGGTGATCCTCTCATGAAGCGATAGCTGCAACGGAGATTGTGCCTAAGATCACCCGAGAAGCCGTAGCCGCGGTTTGCGATGAACGGCGTATGCGTCGCGCTTGCGCATGTATATGGGTGAACATCGGCGTATCCCATTCGTCGACTCGAAAGAGTATGGTAATTCGCCAGAGCGATAGGGCGGTTTGGTAACGGCTTGGCCACTCTTAGCTCCAGTCCACCTGTTGCCGTGCTGGAAAGATATCGTATCGTGGCTAAATGCAAAACGATCTGCGTAGATCGATCATGGCGATGCGACGATGCTGTTGTGGTCGTCCAATCTGCCGATCAGTTGCGCCATGCTTACCTACCAGCACCTGGTGAACTCCCGGTCCCCTACATCCTCAAACTTCAATACACTGATGCACCATGCGCGGCGCTCCCTCGGTGCTGCTATCGCAACAATGTCTCTGCGCCGGGCGTGTTGCCATTCTAAATAAGACCGAAGCGAGGTCTGGAGCGTTGTGGGACGTCTGATTTTGCGGGCCGCTGCGGCGGGGAAGATGGCGCCCCTGCCCAGGGAGGATCGAGCTTTCATTCCGAACACGCTAGCTCATTCACCTACATAGCACTAGCATCAAGACAAGCCTCGTGCCGAAGTTCTTCATATAACGATAGGTCCACGATCCATGGTTCGTATAATCTCTTCGCCAAGGACAAATGGACGCAGAATCATGTCGGCAGGGTCCAATTCCATCCAATCTCGCACCCACTGCAACCCGCCCCATGTCGGCAACTTCTTTTGTGCGATGTGTCGGTTCGCTAGACAGCCAATTGGCATTCAATCGCGAGGTGATTATGCTGAAGGATCATAAAAGGTCCGACGATCCTTCTCAACGATATGCCGTATTATCAGGCGATGCCAGAAAGCTTCGAGACACAGCAGGATTGCTGCTGAGGTTATTTCTCCCGACTTGGATTTTCTCCGGCAGTCAGAGCGTTCGAAGGACGGTATCGGATGCCGCGAGGAAGTATATGTTACCGGGCGTAAGTGTGTGACCCATCGTGTATCCTGCATCGTCCCTTGTCCTTGCTCACTCTGCATAGCAGCCAGCCTGGTGCTGATACTTGACGTTGTACTGCCGCGCAGCAACACTAATCTCCTTCCTCCTTCTTCGCTTCTCCATCTTCAGCATGGCAGACTCCAACTCCGTCGAAAAAGGCGCGTACGTCCAAGATGTGCCGGTATCTCCAACGGGCTCAACCACGGAGCATGGTTTTGATCGCGCTGCCGAACGGCGACTTATCAGAAAGTTGGATATGCGGATCTTGCCAGTGCTCTGGATCTTATATCTCGTCAACTTCATCGACCGGTAAGTCTGATGCAGCCTCCCCAATGTCTCACGATCCATGCTCACCCAGGTTATAAGAGCCAACATTGGCAACGCAAAGATTCAAGGCATGGAGAAAGAGCTGAACCTAATTGGCCAACGTTTCAACATCGCCGTGTGGGTCTTCAACCTGGGGTATCTAGTCGCTGGCGTGCCGTTGCAGATCGCCTTCAAGAAGTACGGACCGAAGAGTCTCTGTGTGATGATGTTCTGCTGGGGCATTACGGTCATCGGGTGCGGACTGGTCAAACGATGGGAGGAGCTTGTAGTCTGTCGCTTGCTAGAGGGTATCGCCGAATCTGCATACATCAGTGGAGCGGCATACTTGATCGGCGCATACTACTCAAAGCGTGAATATCTGACTCGCTACGTCTTTTTCTGCACGGCTGGCATCGTTGCAGGTGCGATCAACGGGTTCCTCTCATCGCTCATTGCGAAAATGGATGGAACAGCTGGGTACGGAGCTTGGAGATGGATCTTCATCATCGAAGTAAGTTGCAACTGTACAGGTTACATAGAACATATTCACTGACTTATCTCCCTCATCTGTACAGGGCTGCGTCACGATCTTCGTTAGCATGGCATGCTGGCCTGTCGTTCCTCCTTTCCCAGAGAACTGCACCTTCCTGTCCCCGGAAGATAAAGCGCTCATGCTCGCACGTATCCAAGCCGACGGCGGCCACGTATCTGACGATGAGATTTCGTTCAAGAAGGCCTTGCATTTTCTCAAAGATTGGAAGATTTGGGCGGGCGTCGCAATGAATCTCGGCGTCACCGAGAACGCAAACTCGCTTGCCAACTTCCAACCCACAATCCTCAAAGGACTAGGCTACACAGCCACCCAAGCACAAGGTGAGCTTCCACTGCAGAAAATCTATACGATAGATACACTGACCCGTAGCTTCCATCTTTACAGTCCATACAATCCCTGTTTATCTTGTCGGCGCTGCCTTCTCCGTCATCTTCGCCTACATGTCTGAGTGGTTGAACCGCCGCTACCTTTTCTACGTTCTAGGCTGGGCCGTCCTCGCGTCTGGTTTGATTGTAGAAATTGTGTATCCAACGAACCCAAAAGTGCGATACATGGGCATGTTCTTCATTGCTTCCGGCTGCTATCTCGCGATGCCGATATCAATCATCTGGGTGTCAATGAACTGCGGATCTGGGTATAAACGTGCTGTGGCTATCGCTGCCATTATCAACTTTGGAACTGCTGGAGCGTTTGTGAGCTCGAACGTCTTCTTATTTAAGGAGGCGCCTCGATTCCGTACCGGATTCAGCACAGGTCTTGGGTTGGCGTGTATGGGTGTCGTGGCTGCGACGATTACTTGGTTTGGGTGCAAGAAAGAGAACAAGAGACGCGACGAAGCAAGGTTGCAGATGCCAGAAGTGCTTGACCAAAGCATGAAGGAACTGGGTGATGAGCATCCAGACTATCGTTTTGCGTTGTAATTGGGAATGCGCTACACAGCTGCAAGGAACAGGATATCCCGCAACCAGGCTTATTTGAACGTACCACCCGTACACGTCGCGATCTCGATTCCTTAGATGGGGACATCCAATGTCAGAAATCAGTTTTTTCACTATCACAAAGAAGTAGGGGTACCTCAGTAGGTTACAAAGTAGTCCAAATGACAAACATAATTCATTGTAGCTAGCCAAACAGACAGCGGTGAATTGAGACAGGAGATGGGATGTAGATCAACGATATCCTTTCGCGCATGCGATCAGACTCGCTTTAATCTACATCGCCTTACTCCGCCAACGCTCACCACTCTCATCGCCCTGGTTTCTTCCTTTTAATTGAAGATATCTATCTTCTGCGACCCAGCTGGTGGTTCCCGATCTAGCCCAGCGTCCTTCAGAGAATTCTCAAGCGAAGTCCAACCATCTTGATCGAACACATTCTTGAGCGCTTTAAGTGCGCCCTCGGTCGGCGGCACACTATCATCCAACTCTAAGCCTGGAACATCGTCGAGGAACTTTCTCTGAGGCCAAAGCTTGCGGAATATACCGAGTACAATGTTCCAATGAAAGGGCTCGCCATATCCCCACAGCCGTCTGCCAGCCGTCTGCGGGTCGACGAGAGCAGCGACATGCAGCCTCGCATCGTCGCGAACGTCGATATGATACATGGGTACCACGCCCTTGACAATGGCTTCATCACCGTCAAAGACGGCTTTAGGAAAGCCTCCTGTAGAAGCATGTCCTTGCTTCTCGTAAACTAGCGAGGGTCCAAAGTTGGCATTTGGGAGAATAGTGTTGAAAGTAAAGTGCGGCTTTTCGTCTTGCATGTACTTCCATGCTGCTTTCTCTGACATTGCTTTGGCAGCACCGTACACGATGAAACCCTTCGAAGGGTGCTGAAAGTTGGGATCGTAGGCGTACTTGATGAAGTCTTCATTGTATTGCCACTCCTTGAAATGACCTTTTTCGCCCCAGGCTGAGGAAGCCAAAGCAGTGGAAGTGAAGACAACGGCTTTGACTGATGCTTCTGCTTGAGCGGCCTTCAGGATGTTGATGGTTTCATTGACCATGTCGGGAATATAGGGTTCGGCTTCGGTAGAACGGTTGGTATTGACTGCGACATGGGCAATACCTTGAACGCCCTTGATACCCTCTTTGAACGCCTTCAAGTCAGATGAATCTGGGAGGAGGACTTGGGTGTATCGCCCTGGCCCGAATTTGGAGTTAAAATGCTCCTGTAGCCAAGCTGCTTTCTCGAGAGAGCGAACTGCGCCGCGGACGTTGTACCCAAGTTCGAGAGCATACTGCGTGATCCAGGCGCCGATGTATCCTGTCACACCAGTGATGTAGATGGTGCTACCCTGAGGCAGACGGGCGGTCGTTGGATTGAACATGACTGTCGATATGGTCTGGAGCGATTGCTGAATCGCAAGGTGAGGAGCTTGATAATTGAGTGAGAATTGAAGTAGCGATGTCGTTGCTGCTGAATGATTGCTCTCACCAATCGACGATCATGTCGACTTATAACTCTACAGTCGGATGCCATATTGACCCGATCGTGGTGTTTGCCCGCTTCGGAGCATAATGCAATGGCATATGGTGGTGTTAGTACGAACCTAGTCAAGATTACTGATGTGCGAAGCTTGTTGCGACTCGGCACAGAGTAACTGGTTAGCAACGATAGAAGGGCCGCGAGTCGATCAAGGCAAAGTATGATCCCTGTCACGGCGCACTTTTCGTCCGAGCCTCAAACAGCATACCATCAATTTGTGTTCACGTCGCCATGGTTTCTCTCTATGAGGTGATGTACGAACCAGTGTGACTAGACGGTTTGGACGAAGAGACCTCACTCGGTGTCATTGCGCGTGTCGTAGGGCGCACGAAACGACATTCGTCCCACACAGACGACCACGACATCGCTGATATGTCAGCGTATGGCAAGCTGCTACTCAGGAGGTGCAGAACGGGGAGATATGGCAGTGGAGTGTTGGCTGCGAACAGGTGCTGAATGTGGTTGTGAATCCCGATGTGCCTGCCAAGGGAAGCGGCGCTACATTGATCCGATGCGTCATCGGCTGGGCAGGCATCGCGTCGCCCTCAGCACCAGCACCAACACCATCGTCACATATGCTCAGACACAACTACCAAGTTGGGAGATAATAATCGGCTTTGAATCACGACAACCTGTTTGTTTACGACGACATCGATGAAAGGACTCAACGTCTGTCGGTTCCCTTTGCGTGAACCCGATGCTACGATCGGTCTCTTCGCCGTACGACTTCTCGATTACCTCGGCATGGGAAGCGTAAGGGATTTCATGAGAGACTTTCTAGAAGCATCCAGTAATAGTGGTACCGCCCTTGCGACACGCACTAAGATGGCTTCTACGTTCCCGCACGCGTCACTATTTTCACATTGTGCCAGTATTCGCAGAACCGTAACCTGAGTATGCGCCTCTGCTCTGTGACTCCTTGCTGACTATGCCATTGCGCCTCAAGCTTGATTACTTTCTAACCGCGACTGCGAGAGCTCTAGTACAGCGCAGTAGTCATATTCGATCGGAAACCTACACCTCAACGCTCGCAGGTTTCCACATACCTGGTGCTCTTCAGATGTTCATCGCCCACGTCATACAGACACTGTATCTCATATGTATGTGTCGTCTCACTCAAGGCATTCGCTCTGTTCGGCCGGATACGAAGTATCATACGACACGAGCAAGTCGCCGCACTCGATCCTCAGTAAAGATAAACAGCATTGCGACATGAGCCGAGGCGGTCAAGGAGGAAAAGGGATACACGTGAAAGCAAGCTGTTGGAAGATACCGCAGGATTGACTGTTGAGTGCCAAGACGCGTCTTGCGTATCGATATGGATGCTGCGCCGTTACGGTGAATCGCATAATTGGATGGCAGAGGCTGACTGCAAGGCTGACTGCATAAGCCAGTACGCCCCGCTCACTTCAGGCGCCAAGCTGCGAGATACAACGCGGACACAGCTATATTTCAACGCCGGTCATCCTTTCTTCCCTTACATCGTCCTTCTCGTATCATAACATGGCTGCTTCGACAATGGCCGACGTCATCATCGTAGGCGGAGGCATTGCCGGGACAGTCATTGCATCGCGGCTGCAGGAGAGAAAGCCATCTCTCTCGATCGTAGTGATTGAAGCAGGAGCTGACCCCGCCGGCAATCCGTATGTGACTGATCCCGCCGCGGCCGCGAACCTCCACTTCTCCGAATTCGACTACAACTACCTCACAACACCGCAAGAACATCTTGACGGAAATCCGAAGCGTAACGTTGGTTTCAAAGGGCTTGGAGGCGGAAGTGTTATCAATACTGGTAAACATGGTAGCTGCAAGCCGCAAGCTGTTGGCTAATTGTATCAGGTGGCTGGATACGAGGCGATGCGCAGGACTACGATGAGTGGGCTCGAGATGTGGGTGATTCGCGGTGGAGCTATGAAGGCCTTCTGCCATACTTCAAGCGTACTGAGAAGCATTTCGACCCTGACGCAGATCCATCGCAGCATGGTCACGATGGCTTGATGCATACTGCGTCTGTCAGTTCATCTGGCCGTCAGTTTCCGCTACGCCAAAATGTCTTAAAGCTTTGGTCCAACCTCGGCATACCTCATATTCACGATTTGAATGATGGCCGTCCGCAGGGTATCAGTGATCTGGTGGAGAATTTTGAGAACGGCAAAAGGCAGATGACGCAGTCCGTGTTTCCATTAAAGGGCGTGAAGGTGCTCACGAGCACTCTCGTTCGCCGCGTGCTGTTCGACGATGCGAAGATAGCTGTCGGCGTCGAGCTCGCAAACGGTCAAAGAATCGATGTCAACAACGGTGGTCAAGTCATCATCACTGCGGGCGCCTATCGAACGCCACAAGTCTTGATGCTTTCTGGTATTGGAGACCACTTTCAACTCTCGGAGCACGAAATCCCGACTATAGTTGACCTACCTAGCGTAGGTCAAAACCTGCATGATCATCTCATGCTATATCGATACTGGAAGCTGCGACACCCGGAGCAAGGTCTAGCCGTCGGCTCGCCTCTCTTCGGTGGCCCGAACTACGATAAAGGAGGACCAGTGGACTTCTTGGTTCGCGCGCCAATACCCACAAATCCACTGAAGTCAGCTATCGAAAAGGACGAAGGTCCAGTTTCTGATGAGCACCCACTGCTCAAGGGCCCACGCACTCACCTCGAGATGTTGCTCTTGTACATCGCCGTCGGAGCAGAAGCGCAAGGCCTTCAGATTCCAATCGACGGCTCTTCAATCATGACCTTCTTCATGGGCTGTCTTCCCACGTCGCGTGGTTCGGTGACGCTCGCATCGTCTGATCCCGCTACGAATCCTATCATCAACCCGAATTACTACGCAACGGAAGCAGATCGTCACGTCATGCGTGAAGGCTTCCGTATGCAAACGGATCTGATGTTTAACTCTGCTGAGGGTAAAGAGCTCGTCGAAAGCGAATACATTCCACCAGGCCTTCCAGCATCAGTGCAGGTAGAGGCAGATGCAACTATCGATGCAAGGATCAAGTTGGGCGCGGGTACCACGTACCATCCTGCAGGAACAGCGGCCATGGGGAGGGTTGTTGATGGGTCGCTAAGGGTGCATGGGGTCAAGAACTTGAGGGTTGCAGATGCGAGTATCATTCCAAAGCCTCTTGCGGCACATTACCAAGTTCCTGTCTACGCGATCGCCGAGCAGGCTGTGGATATTATCTTGGCTGAGTGCTTCAAGTAGGCAAATAGGTTGGACCACATGCTCGGCTAATGTTTCAACTCTGTTCCTCGTCTCAGGGTGCTATATGCTACAGCCTATTGCACATTTTCTCTTACGCCCTACAGCTCCACATGCTCAACTTTCCAACCACCTGGCATCAAATCCGTAAAAACCCTCTCGGGATCATACTTCGCCCTCACAGTCTTCAATCTTTCCACGCTTTCACCACCATAACCCTCGAACACCTTCTGGCCCTTATCCGCATCATTCAAATACACGTACCTGTTTAACCCGTTGACCTCTTTCAGCTTCCTCTCCATTTCTACATTCACATTCTTGACCCACTCAGCAACCTCGTTATCGAATTCCCCACCACTTCCCCAACTGATCGCCTCCTCGACCCAAAACGTCGGTTCTAATGGGATGTTCTGCGGCAGCCCTGCTGATCTCTCAACCATCTCGCGGTTCACAATATTGAAGTCGAGACCCGCGAAGAATTCGGGAACTTTGTTTGCGAGATTAGAAGCAGCTAGCGAGTCGAAGAAAGTGTCGTGTGCAATTGCAAGGTTTTCGGCCGTCGCTTTCATGGAGACGACGCGGAATTTCTGGCGCAAGCCGTGAGATTGACCGCCTTCTCTGAAAGCTGAGCGCATGGCACGGCCATATTGTGCTAGCGAGATAGAGCGCATTGTCGCTGTGCCGTTGAGAGCCGTGAGACCTGTAGTGTTGCCGTGGATAAACTCGGCCAAGGGGCCAGAAGTTGGTATGGAAGTGCCATTATGGAAAAGTGTACTTTCATAAGAGGGTGCGGTGGAGCCGGGGCCCCAGCGGCACACGGGGATGATGGTCGAGGCCAGATCTTCTTCATTGGTCAGAGCCATGTTCAGGACGGCGGCGAGATAGGCGTCTCGAGTAACGTTGCTTGAGCCATAATGGGCGTCTGCGATGAGAGGGGTGATTGATGGAAAGGTTTGTAGGTCGAAACGCGTTATCAGCGCGAAGGAGTTTGCACCGCCACCGAGAGCCCAGTAAAGGTCGGAGTAAGTGCTGTTAGCAGTGATGATAGCAATTGTACCATCTGCGAGGACTGCCTCGTATGCCTTGATCTTTCCCTCAGACGAAGCCAAGCCATGCTTGACACTATACCAACTGATACCACCACCAAGGAGCAAGCCGGGCACTCCGACAGGTGCCAGGCGACCACCTATGACAGTCTTGTTGGTGAATTCCAAGTAGTTGAAGACGTCTCCCCATCGCGGTCCTGGCCCGATGCTCATCGTCTCTCCATCTTGAGACAGCTTCAAAGTGTTCAAATTGGTGCTTGAAATCAATACGCCAGTATTGTTAATGTTTGCAGCATCTGGAATGGGCATGTGGCCGCCGCCCCGCATGGCGAACTTCGTGTGGGTAGCGACAAACGTTTTGACAGCAAACGAGAGCGAGGTTGCACATGTTGGTGCGAATATACATGCTGGGCCGAGCCAAGCGGAGGAATCCCAAGATACTGGGCTTTTGTCAACGTACATTTATTTACTATCATATCATTTTGACTTACCCTGATTCTCGTCTGCATAACCTGCATCCTCTGGGAGGTAGGTGATATTCGGGTAAGTGTTTTTCAAGATCTCGCATGCAGTCGAAGCATCCGATATATTATAGCTAGCCACCGACTGGAAAGCTGTTCCGGAGGCAAAAAGCGCGCAAGGAATCAATGTCCTGAATGTAGTCATTGTAGATGTGTGTTTGAGATGTTGAGAGTCGAAGTAGTGGAGTGATGATTACCTGAACCTACTTCATCTTTATACAAGCAGAGGTCCTCGGATATTCGTCCATGTCGTATTCACGCATACGACTACCTGTCACCAGAACTAGTCTTATTTCGCGAGCTTGTCTATTTGTGGTACAAGCGAAGAATGCAGGGTCTTCCTCCTGCTGTAAATTACGTGTTGTAGTGCCTGCGCCTCAAATGCTGCATGGATAATGTGGCATTGTATGATGCAGCGGTAAGTCCAGGTCCAAAGAACTCATAAGATACCCATGCACCCGAGTACAGTATCATCATGTGCAGTTATTAATTGGGTGGTGCGGGTCATTTGGCGATGTCGCACTCGCATAAGCGTGTCGGTCTCGGTCTCGCATGCTCGCTGATCTTGGTGGGGCCGTTACATTTCACCCGTGCCGGCATGATCCGCAAGTTTCAAACGCCTACACCTGGCGCTATCAGTATTATAGGGGATGTTTGCTCGCCCATAACTTTCTTTAATGCGCTGCAGTAAGAACTCATCTTCATATCGCACAGATTGCAGTCAGCTTTTGCGATGCCTGTGAGCATTGCCTCAGATACGTAGCACAACAGGCTAACTTTGTTGATGGCTCTTCTCTCTTGGTATCTGCACTACAACCATCTGATGAGCTGACCGAATTGCTCAGGCACAGCCTTGATCGTTCCGCTATCATGCGTACTGTACGAGTATACATTGTGTATGAAATCGTCAGCTCTCCGTTCATGCTAGCTCATGCCAATGTGAACCAGTTCAACAACACTCCTTTCTTCTCGGGTCTCTCCTGTTCGAGCCTCAAATCGCGATTGCTCAATTTACTAGTTTTCTGTGTCGGAACATGTCATAGTCGGTCGGATCATCACCATCAACTAACTTGCTTGTTCTCTCCTACCCGTCGAGATCATGACCAGACAGTCTCGGATCTTCCATACTCACTTCTTGAGATTCAGTGTTCAAGAACCGTATAACGCGGCGATCCCCTTCGGCTTAGGCTGCCATGCCCAACGTTAGTTAGAAGTCATGATGCAAAAAGCGTTGACTGTAGTTCGTTGATACTGTGGTGTAATAGATAGTCACGTGATGTTAGGAAGCCAAATAGTATATCGAGAGCTAGAAGTAACCTTGCAACACTACATTAGACACTTACCTACCTAGAATAGCTATAAACCTTAATTCACTCTACCTAGCTATCCTCCGATCGCAGGTTAAGCCTGATCCTCCTGTACATGTGCACCTAGCTGACAGCTGTGCCACAATACAAGCAATCTCACCTAGGCTTAGCGCTGTACCCCTCACCGCACCAAGGCTATCGAGCCACGTTCCACCTTCTCTTAGGCATCCACTCTACAACCTACATCGTTTACACCGTGCCTTACGATCGTGATGTGGTCGTCAACTGCATCAAAAGACACTATGATTTACTCGTGCGCATAGCCTACCTGGACCCCGACGTGATTCTCCACCCACCGCCTGGAGGTTGGAGTGATGAGCAGCTCGCTGTCGATACATTGAAAGAGAGGAAACGCTCGGAGAGGGTCATTGATCTTTTGCGGCATATGCCTTATTTGAGTAAGAATAAGGATACGGTGGGCAAGTACGAGGTCTATATCGAAACGGACGCATGCACCTACCTCCGCAATCATGGCTGGTTTAAAGACGAGTATAGGGATCCTTATGGTCTCATGATGCCGTGGAACTCGGAGCAGGACTCGCCTGCTGGTTTCATTCCGTTGAGCATGGGTAACGCCGCAACCGTATGGATGGTTGATACGGACGAAGGTACGGCTGACGCACAACTTGCATCGCTGAATATTGACAGCTTCTCTAGGGATAATTTGGCCTATGGGACCGTTTATTGTGACTCAAGGTGCGCCGGAAGATCAGCCATGGCGGGCATGCGCAAAGCCTCGCGACATCCAGGAGTACTTCGATGAGCTCTACACCGAGATCGAGACCTTGGTCACTGTTCCGGTACCAAAGACAAAAAGTGATTGGAGGTGGTATCACGAGATACTATCATGTCGGGAGAAGGATGGAGCAGTGAGTACGATTTTCTCCGGCAAAGCATGCTGAATACTAATCAGACAATGACTAGCAAGTTCAGCGCTTGCTTAAAGAGCATGGCTGGCCGGAAGCTCTCAGAAAGGAGGAATATCTTAAGGCTCTCGAGGAAGAGCGCTATGACGCTAAACGCAACGAAGGGAAGAAGAGAGAAGAGAAAGAGAGAAGACGGAAGACAAGGCGCGAAATCGCTGTTGGCAAGACCTATGATCTGCGTTCCAAGAGTGGGAAGGGCGGTAGTACAGCGAGCTGACATATCTCATTACAGATCATAGTGTCTGAAAGCGAAACATCTATAGTGAGAGCCTGGTCGCTGAATTTGACGCCAGACTACCGTGAACCAGAGCAAACAAGATTTCTGGATTAGTGAGCTGATGGAAAGAAGATCAACAGCTTTTTCAGTCTCGATAAACGGCGCGACGGGTTTGTGGATAGCGAAAAGTGGGAATCGTGATCAGTGAATGTTGCATACGAAAGTGGTCATGCTTACCAGCCTCTCCGTGAGCGCCTACTCGGATATGTCCACATGTAGCAGGAACGACAAATAGATGAGTTGACAGTGGGCGGAAGATTCGCTTGCCACATGAGGAGCAATTCGCGTAGCAGGATGCGAGGTGATTGATCTGCTTGTGCCATAGCTTACCGCGATTGATCCGTATGATACGAGTCGCACGTTTCGACGTACTCATGATTCGTTGTCTTCGTGTCATACCGCCTGCATCAACCACGATTACGAATTGGGTCGCTGTACAGGCTGATAATTCATAAGCCGGAACACAATATTCGATAAGGCGCCTGAATATAAGCGTACGAGTGGCAATGGTACAGCATGAATGTTGGTGATACTCCTGAAAGTCCTCCCGAGGCGGCACGTCAAATTTTTGCGTCGCAGGTGGGAAGGGCAAATTTGCGAAGGAGGTTACGGTAGCCATGGGCGGCTCAGCGCAAGTGCGAAGCGGGGAAGCATGGCCCCTTCTGTGGGGCGGCATTCGGTACACTTCATTACTCTACCAACAAGGGTTTGTCATGATTCCAGGTGTATGTATGCAATGCCTGGTGGTGAACATATCTTATCATTATGAACGTGCTAGCCCGGGTACCGTTGCGACTGGATTCGAGGTTGCGCGCGTTCGATGCCTAGGTCGCCACAATACACAGATGCACTGCATATACATGCACCTTTTGAGATCATTCGATCGGCAGCTGATCAACAACCTTCAGGTGTCACATAATCCTAGTGCAGGTATCATGAGAGGAGATACCAGGGGAGAGTAAATATCGTCTTGTCTTTAGCATTCTACCGCGTCTATGTTGAAGTTGTCGACAGGCACTCTTTGAGATCAGTTTCCATCTTCGAGACCGCGCCAGGCCTGCAATACGAGGTATACAAGAGGATTCAACCTTTACCCTGCAGAACATGTTTAGCAGAAGAGACCATCAAGAGCCCAGGCTATGTATTCCAGTCCCAAGAAAGACGGGTTCCTTACCTACTTCACTCGACTCCATCAGTCTAGCATGGAACTCCCCAGCCGTAGTTGACGTCCCTCAGAGTACCACAGCAGTCTGCGTCGCAGGTCGACAAAACCTCCTCACTGCAGGGCAACATCTGTGCGCAATAGACACCGCCGCGCCCGTGGCTCTCACAAGTCCTCTCACTCTTATAACAGCAGTCTGACGGGTCGCACTGTATCCATTCGTGTCAGTACTGAAACTACGCTATGATAGCGAATAAGAAGTCTCACCTCTGCCATGACAGTAGCAGCAATGCTAGCGAGGATGATGCAGAGGAGTCTCATTTTTGAGAAAGAATGGTCAACAGTGGAAAGCGTTGAATCGGCAGGTGATCTTCGATTTTGAAGAAGTAGGGATGTGTTCTACTCTATCATAGAAAGAGAGGAGAAAACGCCTTCTTATACCTACCTTTAGAATCGTGATAGTCTACACCGGTCATCGCGGTCGGCGTAGAGACCATTAGATGATCCGGAGAGAAGCCGCAACATAGCGGTGAATGAAACCCGATGACTTATGTAGATCTTTATAGCTGACTTCCGGGCCTATGAAAAATGTCTTACAGAGCTTAATTCCTATAAGGCGATCCGCAGTGCAACCGCAAAGTGACCTTGATGGGACCGCAATGCGACCGTATGTGAAGCCTTGGCTATGAAGAAACCAACGCATGACATATCCCGTTGCGACTTGTGCTCTCTGACCATGTAGTACGATTACGAAAAGGACTAGCCAAGGATCTCAAAGCCAAGCTGTTGATCTCTCATGGCTGTATTTAAGACAGCTTCTGCACCAATATCCTCTCACCATTAACTTTTCTGCTTGTCCTCTCAACGCTCTTATCAACCAAGTTACAAACATCTTTACTACTTTTCATCAGTCCACTCAATATGAAGGTCTTTCTCATCATCGCCAGCCTTTTTACTGCAATGGTTACAGCAGTGAGTGGAACCCATCTCACTCTTTCTTTCTGCCGACGGAAGTACTAACAGTTGTCCAGGACTGTGACCCCGCTAATTGCTGTTACAAAAACCATGCTACTTGTGCTCAGCACAATGAAGGGAGACAGTTTTTGACTCAGCACGAATACTGTGCGCAGCGATCACCCTGTGCCGATAGAGTCTTGGCCACCTGCGATGCAGACTGCTGTGACTATGATGGCGCCGGTATGCCATGCTAGAAGCGCAAGTTTCTGGTCAGTCTAGGTTTCTTTGCGGAAAATGAAGTGATCAAGGTTGTATTTACTAATGATTGAGATAGTGCACCGGGCATCTCATTGTGTTCCTGAACATTTCAATGATCGGATCAGTCAAGAAACAGAAAAAAGGGAACCTACAACATGTCTCGTACCTATTTCTGCTGTTGAGCATGTCACTCTTGTATTTGGGAAGCTTGGCCAAGTATCGGGGCTCCTTGAAGGGCATCCTACTCACAGTTAGGGGGGGACGAGCCTTTCCAAATAAGTAGACACAATGAATCAATGCTTCTTTGAATCTCTCTGTTGCTCGCTCGCCGTCTATCTGTAATTCATGCCAACATCTTCTATCCTTTCTCTTGCCCAAGATCTTGTATCGCAATCTGTAGTCCTTGCAATCCCTACCTAAGGAGGCAGGTTTGATGTCGCAAAGACAAATTTTGTGTACATATAAAGCGCTGCCTGCGTACAGCGTCTTTTCGGCAAGACGAAACAATGCATGACAAACATCCACAGTGCTTGTCAAGAGGTTTGGGAATATCGTGTCAACACATGCCAAACGCTTCCATTGCAGTATCTACAGAACTTCTTGAGTCGGACCGGACAAGGCGCCCTAGATATGTCACATGCTCAGCGTTGAGCGTGGATCAGCGCCCGCAATCGGCAAAGTTACTATCGTCGTCTGTGCTGCATGGCAATTGGAATCTAGCATGGAAGAAGTCGGAGTCGGAGTGAAAGTGACATGCATGACTCGTTGCCACCGCTCAAGGCTGCGCTTGGGACATTTTTCATCGGCAACAGCCTTAACTTCGGGGGTATGGAAGAAATAGTTTCCTCATGCGGAAATGGCACTAGTCGCACATCTTATCACTCTCGGGCGATGTGCTACGTGCCTGTGGTAACAAATGTCTACTGCTCGGGACAAAATCCGTTTTGGATCTCTTCTTTCGTCATCGGGCCGCTCGTTCGTGGCGACGATCTAAATGTTCTACCTCTTGGCCTACTGTCTGTGCGCACCCAACAAGGTGCAGCTGCATCAACCAAAGAACACAACTGAGAACGACCTGCGATTCCCCCTCGATACAAAGTCTTGTGATGCCTTACACAGTAATTTTGGAAGAGATCTCCCCAGGACTCGATACCATGGCTTTGTTTCGGGCAGACTTCCCATGTCGGACACGATCCAAATAGCGAGCGTACCTCTCCTGGCACCCTCAAGATAGGCTATCTTGGGTTCTCAGACTCCCTATCGACATAACAGCATTACCACCGCGAAAATTCATAACTCTGGCTCGCATTAGCCAGAGTGCCTCAGGCAGTTTGGAGGCGAGCACGCCGACGAGACGGAAATCTGCACAGCAAAGACACAGCACAAAATAAGTCATCAACACTGTACATGGCGCCGTGAAACCTTCCTGCTGAGGCTTTTATGCCCGTACAATCGAGTCACAAACACCCCGCATAAGGCCTCCAGATGTATAATAGGACTTTCGATTCTTCTCTATCAATCTGGAGTGACAGTGATGGGACGATCCCCAAACGAATACACGAACATTCCACTTCCTGGCTGCTCACCTCCCCTGCGCCATTTACCTCAGCACCCTCGAACGGAAGCAATTAACGAAAGCCAAGATCTAGCATTGACCATCATTAGGGTCAGACCTTTCGTCCACGAGTCAGCAATGCGCATCTACCAGCAGCCTTTATAGATGGAGTGAAGCACCCACACATACCTGTAGTAGAAGGATCCATGTGTATTCTCACCACCCCAACCACAGCCATTGATCTCCTCCTTGAGACCAAACTTGCAGTCCTGGTCGCTGAGAGATCCTGTTCCCGTGACCCAAACTAACATCACTTCTGTCAATAACACGAGTCCACGCCACTTGGGCATACATTACAAGCAATGGAGGACGGCTTTGCGTACATTCGGCTTTCATGGTCTCGCCTAGGTTACGGCAAGCGTACTTGCTGTTGCCGTCGAAGTTGCCGGCTACCCCGCCAGAATCACCGTTGCAGACAGCGTCGGCAGCGTTGTTGGCAGCCTGGCGCAGATCGCCCCAGCCCGGACCGGTTTCGCTGTAGCATCCTGCTGCGCTGGCTGTGGTCACAGCAGAAGCTAGGATGGCGGTGAAAGTGAACAAGTACATGGTGGAATTGATATGGAGATGATGGTAATGAGAATCTGTTTAGTTTTCTAGCAGTGTTAGAGCTGGATGATGTTCGGACGGCGAACGACAACAGATGAGTATTAGGGACGCTTTTATAGACTCTTCACAAGGCTCAGTAAGCTCACTCTTGTTCGTATTCACATCCACTCTGCCATAATTATCCAGGCAAGGCGCTTTGGGCGAGCGAAGCTCAGCTGCAGGATCTGAATCCAAGGTACCTGTAAGCATACGGTCGGTCGGCAAGTCAGATGCAGGAATCCCTCTACCCTATACGAACAGTGGCCGTGGCGATGTAATGCGACAGGTCAATATTGTTCAACAGACAGTCACGCCCGCTATCAAGTTACACCTGAAGATGTGGTCCTCCTCTACATCATTCTT